ATTCATAAATAAAAAAAGTATTTTTCCAAAATAATTGAGTATAGGAACAGTCCCAAAAAAGGTGGGTGATTGTCTCTTCTGATAAATTGCAAAATAAACACACTGGGTCAACATTTGAATGATACCTGGAGATTACATTATTAACAGGATAGCATCTCTGCAGAATCTTTAGACACACTTCTCCAATCTCATTTGTTATGAAATATTTTCTCGGTAAACATTTTCCCAACAGATTTATTTAAATAAATTATTCCAAAAAAATTTCAGAAGCAGGTTTACTAATACAGTCCCTTATTATCAGATCTCTAATACATTTGTTGTTTGTTTTTTTAACTTAAAAAAGGATCCGAGTTCCCAATATATAAAATTTAATCTAGGTAATCAGTACAGTTTTGTACAGAAGTAGACATCAACATTTTCACTCCAGAAGGAATGGCATCAAATACAATTGCAAATTGTCTCGGTCTAACTGGGAATTCATATTTTGTAAGAAATTCATTATACGAATAAGTGTTACCTTCTAAAAAAGTTTAAAGTTATGCGCTCTACCTTTACTTCCGTTGCGCATTTCCGTCGTCAGAACGTCACTTCTGGACGTCGATATGCGGCTTGTTGCGGCGCTGGGAAACCGAGCCGCTGGGAAGAAGTAGCCAGAAAGACCACCTTTATCGACGGCATCTCCAGGGAAGCTGTACCGCTGTCAGGACGTGGAGAAACCCCCCCGCGCTGGTAGCTTGTCGGCTAGTTATCCCCCTACGCTGCGGAGCGCCGGCCCTGAAAGCAGCCATCTTTTTGTCGGAGAATGTCCGGGGCGACGCGGCGGGCCTGCTGCTCGGGCTCTGACCGGGGCCGGAGCTTGTTGACGCTCACGGCTGCGCTCCTGCTGTCGGCTGTCGTGCTGCTTTCCGGGCTTCAAAGCTTCACCGAGGCGAAGGAATGCGACAAACCGTGTATGAACGGCCAGTGTAACGGCGTCACGGGCAGCTGTGTGTGCTTCCCCGGCTGGGTCGGGGACCAATGCCAGCACTGCGGAGGGAGATTCAGGTATAAATACTGAACACGCTGATGGAGGAAAACTGATTTTAGCACTGAGAGAAGTGGCAGAAAATAGAGCCTCTGTCTCCTTTTGCTTTAAGACAATTATTGTTGTTTATAAGCCTAATTTGCGAGTCAAGAGCTGTCAGGTGGAGCGCACCTGAAGGAGGAAATACTACAAGTACTCCAGCTTTCATCACTACTATCCAGGGCCCTGTTAGTGCAGCTTATGGACATGTGAGATTGTTTGCTTACAAATGTCTTCAGAGCCTGCTCAAACTTGGTCCTTTTYCCCCCCCCAAGTCAACCATAATTGCAAATATTTAACTAAATCTTCAACCTATTTACTGCACTTCAAAACATGGCATGATCAAGATCACTTATTAGCAAAGATTTAATTTTTTTATTTAATTTTTGTTTAGTGGTGATCCAAACTAAAGGTCTGGTTTAGTTTTAGACTTGTTTTTTTTTTAAGCACACAAAAACATGACAAACCAACATCAGCTAAACAGGTAACTTAATCCAACTTTATGACACAAAGCCATAAACTGTGAAATAAAATCTTTTATTGTAGATGACATAAAACAGAAACTAAAATCATAATTATGTCCCTTTCAAAGATAAGTCCAAGCAATGCGTAGTACCCGTCACCTTAACAGAGTTTTAAATAAAATTATTTGGCAATGACAAATGACAGAGTTGTAAACCCTTATGAAATAACATCATGAATTTGTTGGTGGTATGTGTGGGGTTTGTGTTGTGAATGAGCTCCAATTTTACGATATTTAACTCGTTTTGTGTTTAATATCAGTTAGCTGTGGTGGCCATCTTGAATTGAAAAGTTAATTAGCTGTACCTGTACACACGGGGAATACTGTCTAAAAGTGTCATCAAAACTTGTCCAGTGGTTTCAGATATTTTGCTAACAGACAAACAGGATTTACTCCAATTAATGCTGCAACTGCTTAACACCTGCAGCATGTTTTTTTGTATGACTCTCAGCTACTACCACAACAAATCCTTTGCACAATACCTATAACACTTACTGCATTTGGTGTTTTTAAAGATGAGTAAACTAGCAGCAACCTTGAATCAACTGTAGATTCTAAAATAGACATTTATTAGAATTTATCCAGTAGTTAATAAGATATTTTGGTAACAGACAGGCTCACAAATGCGTAATAATGCTTTACAACTTCTAACCTAATGAAGCGTTGATGTGACTGTTCCACAGGTCAACGGTGCAGAAATATATTAACGTATTAATATATTAAATATTAAACTCCAGTGTCAACTTAGCAGCATTGATTAGAGCGCGGCTAGTACAAGATGTGAAAACACCTAAAAGGTACGCGAGCCTTGTTCTTCTACAGACATTTGTTGTTGTTTTTTTTTTCACAGCCTAAATGAATGCTTTACACCAGTGGTTCCCAAACTTTTTATCTTCTGACCCACAAAATATCCATGGCAAAAACTTGTGACCCCAAATATTACTGGTCTGAGTACACG